GCTGAAGAATAAAGATGATAAAAAGGAAGCGGACGAGGACGGTGAAATCGATTTCGACGTGCTGGAAGATTCCCCCCAGTTAGAGACCAGTCGGGGCACTATGCTAGGATGACCGATGATAAACTGTCTAGCGACGTAATATTAGTTACTTACCTTGTTATTGAGTGTTGGGTTGGTCGTTGGTAAATTTCTCGCGCCACGAAATTGGGTGGTTGTAGGTGATTTTGTTGGTTCTTGAAGATGCCCCACTACCCGGACGAAGTGGAGTACAGCGATAAGTAATAAGAATGGTGTGGTAGGGGTGATGAGTATTCGGGAAAGGGGTTTTTTTGGCTAGCTTGGAGGGGAGAATCTTTACTGTGCGAAGCGTATCTTTATTGATGGTTAAAGTTTGGGTAACCATAGACCGCGGCCTCTCCTGAGTTTCCAAGACCGTGTACTACACGTTTGGTTTCATCCTGGGATGCCTACTGAAATCCATAGAGTAATAATGGTGATTCGCGGTCGATCAGAAAATTCCAAAGGAGGTGGGTGAGGATTTTTGCTGTTGCTAGTGGTCTACAGAGAAGTCCATCCGTGCTGCGATCTGGTGAAGGGATGGTATCAGGTACGCTGACGATAAGTACGAGTATCGTCATGTTATTCTACCCAAGCGTATCGCTAAGGATATGTTCAGAATATTCCAGGCGGAGGCGCAGATGAGGGGAAGGTGATAGACCGACTGGGGAAGGGCTTAGGGCACGTTTAGTGAATGTTATGGTACTATCTTATAGGGGGGAAGGTAGCAGTGCTTGGTTTATTCTCTTCGATATGGTGAGTTTCTCGCGAGCACTGCGAAAGGCGGTATTGGACGGGGGCGCCGTGTGGTTGGGTGTTGGACTAGAGTTCATTGCGGTGGAAAAGCTCTTGGTATCGGTACAGCCGTGGTTGGGAAAACTATCGTCAATTTGTGAATGATTATCTTGACATAGTGTCTTGCTGAAGCAGAATGAATTTGGAAGAGTATGTTAGTTCTACCGAGGGTTGTATTATACAGGAGCTCGGAGAATTTGAGGGAGGGCGGAAGTTCTCTGTTCACTGGAGTTTTACCCGCGATATGGAAACTGTTAGTCAAAAACGTGCATGTCTTCGCGATTCTGGAGAAAAATGTAATTTTTGTCACTTTTCGAAAAACGCCAGTTCGCGTATTACGGATGAAAATTCACTGTTTTACACCGATCTGGAATAAATTCAATTTTCTATGATGATTCTCTCTCCGGAATCATAATTCTCAGAATTGTCATCCCCAACTTGCGGTTACACGGATTTCATTGACTCCTTGGCTGGACTGTCTGCTGTGGTTCGATCAATTTCTTTCAGGCCCACAGCGGAACCCAGGTTGCTGACTGAGTCGGAGTGGAGGGGGGTTGGGAGTGCAACAGAGTCGTGGTTGGATGCACTACGAGAATCATAGGTCGGCCCTGGCTAGATACGGATTTGGTCGAGGGGAGGTTGGATGCAGGGTGGCGACTGTCATCGCTTGTATCGTTATAGTACATTGGCCTCCCTTGACGAGGATGGAGTTCACCGGAGAGAGCTCACAAATCACTATTGAATGATATCCCAGTCAAGACTGGCCCAAATTCTCATGCGCTGGTGATCAGCATAGCCGACCGGAGTGGTTCGTGGTTGGAGTCCACTGAGCTCTCCTGTTGTTTTCTTGCAGGCCGGAACCTCACATTCTTCTCTTCCGTCGTCCGCTGGGTACCAACCCCCTCACCGGGCAAGTCGACAGAGTGCCTGGCGAGATGCAGCCCCGCCCCAGGCCAATATCGTGCGATGAGGGATAATGGCGGTAGTGTGCTGGACCTTGGGTGAGCGTGAGTATGAAGTCCAACGCTGGCGATGGGTTCTTTTTCCTGGGGATCAGCCTGTTGGTTAGGCCAGGCTCGGCGTGTGAATTTTCGATACCCGGAGGGGAGGGTTTAGATAATGATGATACCTAATTTTTCCGAAATTATGCAGGCCCAGTGTCTCATCTCAAGTTGAATCCTGCTGTGAGCTGCAAGCATGAGGCTAGTTCGTAGTGTGGAAAGTTGGTCATCGTTCTTGCACAAGATTTTTCTCAGATTTTCCCTCTCCCTCTGGTGGTAATTCATGATCATATATCCCAGTTTGTTGAGTTTAGTATTTGTTAGTTGGGTGGGGCTGTTCGACTGGTCGCACCAATGGCGGTTGCGAGGGAGATCTATGCGGCTGTTGAGTTTGTAGAGGACATTTACTAGAGAGTTTTTTATTGTTATTCTTGCTCATTTGTTCTGTACAATTTGTTTACTTAGTTTTTGGATTTTTTGATTTTTTTCTACTTGAGTGTTTTTTGGGGGGGCGCATTGATGAGGGGTGGTAGTGTTATTCTGATGTTGATGAAAAGTATCTTTGAACTCTTGTCGCCGAATGAATCGTTTTAACCTCGATATTTTTGAAGAAATATTACAAAAGATTTGATATCTTTTACTTATTCATAGCTTCCATGGGGAGGTTGGCAAACAGTCTGCCGTCGGTCGAATTGTCAACTCGCTATCGACATGTTTTTATTTGATTTTTCGTGATGTCGCTGACCTTGAGCCCAGCAATGGTGGAGAGAGTCCTGCGGAGGTGCGAGGAGGTGTTGGCCGGGGGTTGGCATGGAGGCGACCCCTTTTGTAGTGGACTGGTAGGATGGGCTCAAAGCGAATGGATGAGCCTGGTTATAGCAGCTCACCATAGTAAGATACGGAATATTAGATATCCTTCTTATTAGTTGGTCGGGTGGATAAGGTTCGACGTGGAATAGGTTAGCTTCGGAGGTCGAAGCTTGGCACTCCTGCAGGTATAATGATTTTTCGACTAGAAGTCGCGGCGGACATGCCTCAGTTGATCGAGGTTTTCGGGACGGAACCGACTGGAGTGTGGTTTGCGTGTCGAACAAGGACTTCTTCAGAAGTGAGGTCGAGGGTTCCCGTTTGTAACGAATGTCCAACGGCTCGGGTGAGTTGATTCGATCTGAGCATTCTCGCAAGGACGGCATTTTCCACGTGTCGTTAACATGCTATTTTGGTACAACTTCATTACGCATTTTGAGGGTCTGCCCTGGTGCAAGTAAAAATCTGGCTGAGAGTGTTGCTTGAGTGTGATCTATGATGGCAGCTGTCGTGAGAACGGCCATTACGGAGGAGCCGTGGTTGGGCGTGTGCGAAAAGTCTCTCGTTTTGGACGTCTCCTGGGCTGCAGGGGGGCATTGAGCTGTGGGGGCAGGTGCGGTTTTGGGGACTTACCGGAAGAATCTCGAAGGCGACGGGGAGGCGCAGCGGAAGTTTGACTTTGTGGCTGAGGCTAGCGATGACGTTGGGAGGATGTTGAGACCGTAATGTCGAATTGTAGGAGGTGGAGTCTTCTGCTGCTCTGTTAGTCCAAGACTGAGCTCTCGATGGTTTTCGGCTCCGATCCTCGGCAGGTCGCTGGTGGAAGAAATCGGGTGCGATGAGTCTTTCATCAGAGTTATGAACGTGGATAAGCCCCCCTTCCTCCATGTAGGTCCTGCTTCTTGAGGGGTGATGGCGTCGTCAATTTCGCATTGGGTTTCTCGGTCTCGTGGCCGTTCAAAGAATATCCATTTGGTATGTCGTAGTTCAGTCTATCCCCTGCGGGTTCTCTGGCGAGGTCCTGCGACATCGTTTGGTTTGTGTGGTCTCGTGGCCTAATGGATAAGGCGTTGGTCTTCGGAACCAAAGATTGTGGGTTCGAATCCCACCGAGATCGTTCATAAATTGCCTTTTCAATTTGTCGTAGTTGAATGTTATCGGTTGCTGGGACTCAGGGAAGGTCGTTAGACATCGTGAGGTCACTGTGGTCTCGTGGCCTAATGGATAAGGCGTTGGTCTTCGGAACCAAAGATTGTGGGTTCGAGTCCCACCGAGATCGTTCTTAAATTGTTTTCTCAATCTGTCGTAGTTGAATGTTATGGTCTGGTGGGACTTTGGGAAGGTCGTAAGACATCGTGAGGTCGCTGTGGTCTCGTGGCCTAATGGATAAGGCGTTGGTCTTCGGAACCAAAAATTGTGGGTTTGAGTCCCACCGAGATCGTTCATAAATTGCCTCTTCAATTTGTCGTAGTTGAATGTTATCGGTTGCTGGGACTCAGGGAAGGTCGTTAGACATCGTGAGGTCACTGTGGTCTCGTGGCCTAATGGATAAGGCGTTGGTCTTCGGAACCAAAGATTGTGGGTTCGAATCTCACCGAGATCGTTCTTAAATTGTTTTCTCAATCTGTCGTAGTTGAATGTTATGGTCTGGTGGGACTTTGGGAAGGTCGTAAGACATCGTGAGGTCGCTGTGGTCTCGTGGCCTAATGGATAAGGCGTTGGTCTTCGGAACCAAAGATTGTGGGTTCGAGTCCCACTGAGATCGTTCTTAAATTGTTTTTTCAATCTGTCGTAGTTGAATGTTGTGGTCTGGTGGGACTTTGGGAAGGTCGTAAGACATCGTGAGGTCGCTGTGGTCTCGTGGCCTAATGGATAAGGCGTTGGTCTTCGGAACCAAAGATTGTGGGTTCGAGTCCCACCGAGATCGTTTATAAATTGTTTTTTCAATCTGTCGTAGTTGAATGTTATGGTCTGGTGGGACTCTGGGAAGGTCGTAAGACATCGTAAGGTACCTGTGGTCTCGTGGCCTAATGGATAAGGCGTTGGTCTTCGGAACCAAAGATTGTGGGTTCGAGTCCCACCGAGATCGTTTATAAAATGTTTTTTCATTCTGTCGTAGTCAAATGTTATGGTCTGGTGGGACTCAGGGAAGGTCGTAAGACATCGTGAGGTCACCGTGGTCTCGTGGCCTAATGGATAAGGCGTTGGTCTTCGGAACCAAAGATTGTGGGTTCGAGTCCCACCGAGATCGTTCATAAATTGCTTTTTCAAATCGTCGTAGTTGAATGTTATAGGTTGCTGGGACTCAGGGAAGGTCGTAAGACATCGTGAGCTCACTGTGGTCTCGTGGCCTAATGGATAAGGCGTTGGTTTTCGGAACCAAAGATCCAAAGATTGTGGGTTCGAGTCCCACCGAGATCGTTCATAAATTGCCTTTTCAATCTGTTGTGATTGAGCATCATCGTCTACTGGGACTCTGGGAAGGTCGTACGACATCTCCACGCCATCTAGGTCCAATCGATCGGTCATGCCATTGGTCTCGATATGCACTTGGCTCCAGAATATTTGAAGGACGGCCCTGAGCTGACCGAATGGGAGGCTGAGGTCAGAGAAACTATGCATGACGTGCGCGATCCTGACTTGTGGGGCTCGGCATACGATAAGGTGGGAAGGAACATCTCGCGGTACGGTGCAGGATTTGGCAAAATAATGGCGTCCCGATCCTTATTCAGCTCACTGGAGACTCTCCAGTGGAGAGTAACGTCAAACAGCGGTGCGCCACCGCCGGCGCCTCCCTGCGCGAGCATCTCAGCTGTTACAGCTGTCTGTTGCTCAGATTTTGGGGCTCAATCTCCACCCTAAATACGGCGGCTGGTATGCCTATCGCCTTGTTGTTGTGATCGATCTTGAAGTAAGGCGTCATCGTGAATCACGACGCGAACGGCGTTGCATGCTGATCGATCTTGCTCGTCAGCTGGAAGAAGCCCTCTGTCAGCCGCCGCGGTGCGACCTAGGCTTAACGGAGCAGCAAAAACGCGACATTCTAATGGAGTTCAACACCCAGCCTGACCTGGGCCAGTGGCGAGACGTGAGTTATCTGTTTTTTCTCCTGCCTTCATGGGGCAGCCAGATGGCGATCAGGAGGGGTAACGGTGGAACGGGCCGCGTGAGAGTGCCTCACGATGAGCCGTGGGCAGCAAGCCTACTAGTGGCAGGTGTCAATTCTATTGAGGACCTATTGAATGGCGCGGAGGAGGGCCCCATGCACTCTGCTACTTGGCGTGGTTTTTAGTTACCTGACGGCCGTACGAGAAGGTGGCAGTATGATGCAGGTCAATACATGTAAGGTGGCTCACTTCGGGTTGGCAGACTGCTGTCGTCGCGAAAAAATTGATTTGTAACATTGCTAAAACGAGATGTGATGAAGTCGATTACCACTTCGCAGTTTTCGCGATTACCATCTAGTGGTTTACGCCATTCGCGATTGACAGATGCTTCTCCATTGTTACCACTGTGGGAGTTACCGTCACATCCGAGCTGAATGACCAGTGACTTCTGATAATATCAGACCGACATCGTGTATACTGCTTGTTAACGAACCGGGCATATGATGGCAGTGTGCCCTATCATCGAATGTCCTACGTGCAAGCGTTAAGGATACATGGCTCGTATTTACCCTGCAAGAAACTGCCAGTCGACTCTGATCAAGCGAAACCACGACAGCTGGAGGAACAGCGTACAAGACTTGTATTGCAAGTGAGATGAGCGAAACAGACGGCGGAAGGGAGGTCCCAGTGAAACAAGAAATGGTGGAGGTACCATTGCTTGAGATCTTCACATGTCACGTGACACGAAACCGTTGTCATTTGAGTGTCATGTGACATGATTGTTGAGGTCGCGTATGAAGATCTGCGTGAACCCTGCAGGCTACCACGTTGGCGCCGTCTACCTCACTGGCAATCACAAGGTCGATTTCGTCGCTGTGTGCGAGACTGTAATGGAATTCACGTCCGGCTACATTCACGCCGTCATGCCAGGCACCACACTGGGGAATGCCATGGCTGGCAGAGTCGACGTGGAAGGGCCTGGCTCACTTCACACAACTGCGTCGCAGTACCAGCACGTGACTGAGATCGAGGCTAATGTAGGGGAGTACTTTTGAACACTAAGATTATATCCCTCGCTGAAGGTCAGCGGCGGAGTTATGAAGGACCGCTATGCGGCGTTCCATCTCACATCGGTCATGTTGGCCAACTTTGTGGCTGTAGCGTGCCGGACATGGAAGTTGTGTTAAGGGGTACCGAATCCTTCGTACAGCACCGGGCGTATAGTCGCCGACAGACGGGCTTCGCTATGAACAAGAATGAATCGTGGTCTATCCGAAACCACAAATGGAGAATTCATTTTCCTTGTGATCTCAGAACACAAGGAACAGCGTTCACTGTTCTGGTGTGCGTGTCTCTGATCTTGTCAGGGAAATTTTTGATCAGCCGTATTCGCCCTGTTGGGTAATATATGCTGTTGCTATAGGTATTTCCACGAGAAGAATCGTGCCAAGCGGGCTCGCTTCATGGAGCTGATGTATAACGAGTCAACCATGGAATGACTGCAGTGTTTCCGACGACATCGAAGGTTATTGTGCTAGTGTCGCCCATCAGCTCGGGGAGCATCTTTGTGAAGTGCTCTCACCGCCAGTCGACTCAGTTGGGGCTATTCTTGCGATCGACTCCGTGAGCGAGTTCAACCAACTGGAGATCTTCCCAAAGAATTTTTGCTGTTTGAAATGTCGCCAGTAGTAGTCGTGACCGGTGCCAATAAAGGCATCGGTTATGAGATCTCCAAGAAGCTCATCGCTGATGGCGCCAAAGTCATCATGACAGATAAAGATGAATCTAGATTGGGGGAAGCTGCTAGTGAGGGGACAGCTGTCTTCCTCTAACTTCAGCATTAATGTTTTGCTCTCAGGCGAGCTGAAGCCCTTCGGTGCTGTCAAGTTGGACACCACTAGCGAGGACTCGGTAAAGCTAGCCAAGCAGAAGGTTAGGTGGGGGGAACCTGGTGTCACCGCGGACGTGCTGTATGCTGACGGTTCTCAGCTTGCTCTTGCAATTTGGATGATGCCGGTCTCCTTCTGCAGATAGAACGTCTCTCGCCTCGCATCGATGTCGTGGTCAACAACGCCGGCGTCGCCCACCACAGCGAGTCTTTTGAGCTTACGAAGGTCTTCCCATTGCACCACCTTCAAGTGGGCTTAATCGTGTCATCAGGCTGAGCTCACCAAGGCCCTCTACCCTCTTCTCAGCGACCATGGCCGCATCGTCAATGTCTGCAGCTACCTGGGCAGACTTGCTGAGGTAATTGCCGAGCCCCGCTCAGTTAGCATCTATGAGGCTATGCAAGAGACGAAGTGCCTCCCTCGTCAGGTCTCTGAGCCTCTGCAGAAGAGGTTCTCGGACCCCAATGCTACTGAGGAGTCGGTCGACAGTCTCGTGGAGGAGTTCCTCACCGGTGTGAAGGAGGGCGACTACAAGGAGCGTGGCTTCAACGAGAGTATGTACAGCATCTATGGCTTATCCAAGCTGGCACTTATCTCATGGACTAAAGTATTGGCGAGAGAGGCCATGGCTGACTCTCGAAAGATACTCGTCACTGGCTGCTGTCCCGGCTGGTGTCGCACTGATTTGAGCAAGTAAGCCGCTGAGAAACGACGCGACGAGACCCTAGCTTGACATGAGGCTCATGTCAACCACAGTGGTTGAAAAGTGCCGCTCATGTCGAACATGAGGAACGATACGGAACGATACGACGAAACCCTAGCTGCTCCAGCTCACATGAGGCTCATGTCAACCACAGTGGTTGAGAAGTGCTGCGGAAGGCTCATGTCTAACATCAGCCTTCCCACATGAACTAGGAGGCTTGCTGCTGAGCTGCACGTCTCCTAGCGTCCCCTTCCTTCGCGTGAGTAATACAGGCGATGCTGAATGATTGTATCCGGGCTGCTCGTGTGTGGCCTGACATGTTTTTTTTCAGTCACACGGGTCGTCGCAGTGCCGAGACCGGCGCCAAGGTGGTTGTCTGGTTGGCTGCCGAGGTCGACTACGACCCGACCATGAGTGGCAAGCTGTACCGAGATGACCAGGAGTTCGATTGGCAGACCGGCAACCTCCTCTCTACTGGAGAGGTTTATTCGACTCCGACCGGAACCAACTGATGAAACTTCACACCTGTGAAGTCTCAGTGTTACCTCTCTTTTGCCTATCGAGGAGTGCTTAAATCGTTGTTGTCTCCCGTGGATCTGTCGACGTAGCTTCTACCGGAGCTTCCGTATGACAATGGGTCGACCTGTGTCTTTCACAGGCATGGTTTCTGTACTGCCTTTCTGTGAACGTTCCGTCCAGAGATCTTCACTCACCCGCTTCGAAACTTCTACCTCTCCTGCGGTGAGTTTCCGCTCATGAGTCTCTACGTGAGACGTATAGGGTTAGGGGAGAGAAGTGATATGTGGCAGACGGCACGTCTGAGGCGGCTTCTCCGCTACCCTCGTGAGAACTCAGCACTGCATGGTAAGGGGAATGCTGAGATTCTGTGTCATGTGCTAGCTTTGAGCTAGGCTAAGGTCCGACCGTTGTGCTCCTCTACAGTGCCGCGTCTTCAGCTTGTTTGCATTCACCTCGCCAATGGCCATGCCGAGCTTCCCATCCACGTTCGCCTCCTGGTGGCTGAACTTCACGACTCCGTTAATAGTGCTGATCTATCCGATTCGAATACACGGGCCGAGCTACTTCACGCACATAGTGGTGTGCGTCACGCTGTCCGTCGCTGCCGTCATCCTTGCCGCGTCGCCATTCCTACCGATGCAACTTGTCATTGTGATGGCCGTGGTGGTCGGTAAGACTCCAAGCTCCGTCAGTTGCAACGACCGTCACGTACAGGTACTTCGACGGTCTTCTTTCCCCTCATTGCGGTGATGGCGTCATCTGCCTGCGCTTCGGGTAAGGGAGCCACGCAGGATCGAGGGCCCCTACTGGGTGCCTCAGGCCTCATCACGTATGTCGTCTGGACGTCGGTCTCTCAGCAGTACACGTATTTTCACCTTGGTGTGGGCGGAGTTGCTCTCTTGACTGCCGCGGCAACTTTGGCGAGTCGGAGGCTGTTCGACAACTGGCAGATGGTGAGTCAAGAGGGTCCATCCGGGCCGGGGTGGGCGTCTCCCCAGCGATTCAGTCTCGCGATAAAATACTTGTAAATTAACTTGAACGCAAGGACCAGATGTTGGAGAGGTTAATCTCAGTCAAGCATAGACAGTTCTATTTATGAACCACTAAATCCTAGCTAAAGACAGTGTCACACTGGACAGCCCCTGGGAGTGTACCCCTGAGGAGAGCTTCTTGACAACAGTCTCATTGCACTGCATGCCAACG